CCAGGACTAGAGATATTTTATCTTTTTTTATATACTCGTGAATCATTGTTTTTAGCTATTTGCACTTGTTTTTCAACCAAACTCATCCACAGATCATCTCCCGACATCCCAAATCATTCGTAACAACAAAATCATCATCCACAATTTCAAATCATCCACAACAACATATATAGTCAACAAAAATATCATCCACAAATTAAGAGGGAAAAAAGGAAAAAAAAACATCCGGCGTGCGCCCGGCCGCCTGCCGCCCGGTGGCCGTCGCTCGCCACGCGCCCATCTGCGCCGCCGCCCACCTCCGCGCGCCCCTCCGTGCCGTCCGCCACCCGTTGCGCGGTCCTTCATGCCGCTGCCCGCGGCGCCTCCCTCAGCCGCTCGCTCACCTCTACCGCAAGCAGGCAGAAGAACACGACTTAGTAGGAATAAGGATAAGAAAATAGAGAGAAAAGAGAGAGGATACGAAAAGAAAGGAGGAGGACAAGGAAAGAGTGGTTGCTAGAGGATAAGTGCGAGGGATTATATACTATGCGCTGATTTTTAGTCCCGGTTGGTGTTTCCAACCGGGAATAAAAAGAGTAGAGGAGCAGACACTTTTCAACCGGGACTAAAGATCATAAAAAGGCTATGGACTTTTCAACCGGGGCTAAAGATGATTTTTAGTCTCGGTTCTTTTTGGAACCGGGGATGGTTTTCGGCTGACCTAGCAAAAATCAGTTCTCTAGTAGTGCCTGCAGAGCGGGCACACCTCTTGCACGTATTGGAGGTATAGTTAGCCGAAAGGCTCGAGGCTCAATGGTCTGGTCCATGGCACGAAGTTTTGGTCCGTCCTAGGCATGGCACAACCCGACCGTTGGGCCGTGCTTGGGCCTCTGCATCGGCATGGCGGGCCGGCCCGGCACGGTCTAAAGATTTAGGAGGCAAAATCGATAAGGGAGCCAAAATAGACTTATTCCAGTCATTCAAGGCACCGCCAAAGAGTTGTGGGATGCAAAATAGACTTAGTATAGCTTTATATATAAGACACAACCCAATGAGTTGAGGGACGCAAAATAAAAATTTTTCTAAGAAGGAGCACGGTGGCTTTCGTGCCTTCGGGCTAGCGGGACACGGCTCGAATCTTATTGGGCCGTGCCTGGGTTGTTGGTGCAGCAAGTAGGCGGGCATGTAGGTCGGTTGTTCGACTAATCTCGGATCCGGCTTGATCATGGCCGGGCCGTGCTGGGCTAGGCGGCTCGTTTGGTCATCTATAACTGGAGGCAGTTTACATTGTTGAATGGTTAAGTCCTGCAAATCAAGGGAGTTAGATTTTAAAGAATCATAGTAGCCAATCCATATTGTATATTGTATTATTATTGATATTAGAGATTAAAATTTTAGGTATATATCACCAACTATGTTGGTCATATTTGGAATTATAGCGCTTAAGATTAAGGAAAGTACACGTTGTGATTTTTGCCTTACTAGGCCCCCGTGTCGCCCCGCTCCAGGGCAACACGGGCGGCGACGCCACAAACCCCGCCGCCACCCCTTCCCCCTCTCCTCCTCCGCCTCACCACCACCGACAAAGCTAAGCGACATCAAGGACAACAAATGTGGGGCCTCTCCCTTCGCTCCAGCCACAGCGGTTGGGGCAACACCAAGATCTCAGCTGGAGGGGGGTGGCGACCGTCGGCGCTAGTTCTGGCACCGACGAGGCCGGTCGCAGTGGATTCGGCCCACCCGTACCCAGATCGGGCAACGGAGGCGCCGACGGCGCCGCTTCTGGCTTGAGGAAGAGGCCACGGCGGATCTGGGGAGGCAAGTCCGACCCCCTGCGGCCAAACGGGAACGAGATTGATAGCACGGTGGCAAAGTCGGTGGCGTGCGTGGCCCTAGAGTCACGTGCTCGCGCGGGAGGCGCTAGGCGGCGTAGACGCGGCCGGCGGGCCTGGGCGGCTGGAGGAGGAGGGCAATTTTCTTATATTATTAACATGTATATATTATAGATGTTATAGTGCAATTTTTGAACACCCTCCCTTAAAATCGTGGGCCCGCCACACCTCAGGCCAACCACCATGGATGCATATGCACCAAGGAATGGATGCAAGCAATGCCCTACCTAGAGTGTCAAGTTAGTTCATTTTACGTACTGATACCATCAAGAACATATGGACCAACTATAAGGTGTAGTGTCCCATGCATACAGAAAACAAATTTACTACTCCCTCCGTTTCGAAATGTTTGACACCGTTAACTTTTTAGCACATGTTTGACTGTTCGTCTTATTCAAAAACTTTTGTGAGATATGTAAAATTATATGCCTACATAAAAATATATTTAACAACGAATCAAATGATAGGAAAAGAATTAATAATTAATTAAATTTTTTAAATAAGACGAATGATCAAACATATGATAAAAAGTCAACGGCGTCAATCATTTCGAAACGGAGGAGTATTCAACAATAATCTGTGCAAGCTCATGGTTGCTTGTGAACAGCGAAAATAGGACGCTTCGTAGGATCGATCTGAGGTGTTTGTTTTCAATATTAACTAGCGTATATAGTCACACGTTCGCCTGACTTTAACCTCCCTCTATACTGAATGTGTTTTTACATATTATTTGTGGTTTATAAACATATAATGAGGATTCATTTGAATTTATTTTAAAATTATTTATATGTAAATAAAGATCACGGATAGTACTGCGAGGATATGACTAGGGTTTATATTTATCTTCTCCATTATATTTTCTCTCTCCCTATCCGCTCAACCATAACCATATCTGCGAAGATATCTTTTTCTCATGTACTTGAGCCACCGCACGCGCTTCTTCACCAAATTACCAATCAGCATCTCCATGGTTGCATGACCCCTTTATCTTCATATTATATTCTATTCATTCTCATTTTCGGCAAATTATGTTTTTACATACTTGAATAGGTGTTAAGAAAATGTACTATTTGGCAGGAAATCTAAGTATAACACAAATTGATTGTCCTGATATGTAATAAATAAATATTATCACGGAAATAAATATTTTACAATGATTATGCTAAACTTGTGAAACTACCCTAAGAAACAGACTATAAAATTTTAGGTGATCTTATCATTTATTTTTTAAAAAATGATAAACAAGAAACCAGGAGACATCCTGTTGAGAGATAAAAATCCATCTCCCTTATTATTTCTCTTATAATGATATATTCAGTCACATAATGGATGTCTTCTAGCGGAACTATTGAACTCCCTCGGGGGTACGACCCTCCTTTGTTGCATGCAGTCCAAGTGATTACAAAACATTTTTGAAGATGGAAAACATAGATGGCTGTGTTACATATTCGTGGAAAATTTTAAAAAATACATCACATCAGGCAAGAAAGTAAAGTTCAGTTAAACTCGTAGTTGGATTGTTACTTTTATTTGTCGATGTATAGTTTAAATTTGTTGATTAATTTTTATCCTTCATTTTTATGGAGGAATGTACGTAAGTGGCAATACTATATATATCCTCACATGTTTGTGAATGGACATATATATCATGAACGATTATTTTATCTTCTTTTGTTCTTAATTTTTTATAATTCCTGCAACAACATAATCGTAGTCTTTAAGGTCTTGAAATCGACTTTCTATCTCCAAAATGTGATCAAATCCCAAAAAGAGTGGATTTTAAATTACCATTTTAATATCTGGCTAATTACTAACCCAATCTGGAATTTCCTTTGGGCCTTGTTCGGTTTGGAGGGGGTTGAAGGGAATTGGAAGGGTTTGAGGGGGAATAATTTCACACTATAATAGATGTGGAATAAATCCCCTTTAATCCCCCTCTTGGGATTAACCGAGCATGGCCCTGGTGAAAACTTTTCTTGTGGGCTAGCAAAACTGCCGAGGAAATTGCTGTTTCCTTAACGGTGCTAAGCAAACTGGCAATAAATTGTACTGTATATTTATTGAGGAGTGACTGCAAGTATATGGTAGTTTTCTCGGGTGTTTCACTGAATCAGCAAATTAAGAAATTGCCTTTTATTGCGCTTTATTCGAAACCACCAACAATCCTTTTCTAGATGGTGCTAAGTAAAGTGGCAATAAATTGTACTGTATATTTATAGAGGAGTGACTGCAAGTACATGGTAGTTTTCTCGGGTGTTTCACTGAATCGGCAAATTAAGAAATTGCGCCTTTTATTGCGCTTTATTCTAAACCACCAACAATCCTTTTCTAGACGGTTTTGGTACTTCCTTGGTGGTTTTGTAGCACTCAAGAAATTTCCTGATGCTGGTAATTCAGTCAGGCCATCTCGAATAAAACTAAAAATTCTAGAGAGAGAGATAAGTTAATTTGTTACTATTTTTGAAGATTTGACAACTCCAATCACTTTTCTGTTTATGTATAAAAAACTAAACTCAAAGAACCTCGAATATGTTGAATGCAACTCTATTAGAAAAACCATTTTTTCCGACGATGACATTTTTTTTTTAGCCAGGTAGATCTCTCGGAGCTAAATGGCCGCCTACGAAAATGACAACCGGGGTCCGAGATCGCCGTCCGCCTGCGAAAATATATTTTCCCATGCAGGCGGTACCTTAAGAGGTCTGCATGCAAAAATATTGAGCACCATAAAAATAGTCACCTACGTAGCCAAAAATCGTTAAGTCCCGCCCCTCCCACGAGTCTTTTACCCCTATACCATTAAAAAAGTTGCTGCTTATCTGTGTGCCACAAAAAAGTTTGGAGTCACCTGTATGCCATGAGAAAAACTTTCACTGACCCGTGTGCCATTCCGTCCACCTTCTGTTAGAACTTAACGGTTCCATAGCTCTGACATGTGGGACCCATGTATGAAAATGACTAATTTGCCCCTAAAGGATTTTCAGCTCTATTCTCCTCTTCTGCTATCTCCCGTGAGTGCCTGCTCTCTCCCTGTTGCGCCGCACGCCGCCGCACCCTAACCCTAGCCGCACGCCGCCGCCTCGCCGGAGCCGTCACCGCCGGAAGAAGATGGCCCGGTCGTGCGATGCCATGGAGAGGGCGCGTGCGGTGGCTGGGGAGAGCGGCAAGTGGTGGGCGCTGCTGCTGGGGTGGTCGGGGAAGGCCGACTACATCGAGGCGCCAACGCCGGCGAAGGAGAAGGCGCGGGAGCTGCGTGCGAGGATGGCGGAGACGGAGAGCTTCCACGACGCCATGTACCACTCCGCCATCGCCTCCCGCCTCGCCTACTCCGCCTAGGCGCGCCGCCGCCTCCGCCGGAGGAGGAGGAGGAGGGAGATGAGTCCAACTCGCCGCCGCCGCCGGGGGTGGCATCGCCGCGACGGCGTGTATATAAAACCCGGGTGGGATTCGTCTCGTTGCTCTAGCTGCTGTTGTTGCGGAGGAAATTTAGAAGGGATCTGGTTTTTTTAGAATTGATCCCTTGCATCCATCCATCTACTTTGCCTTTTCATTTTCTTCCGAGATGTAATCTGGATCTGAGATCGAGATCTACCCGCTTGTGGTGGACTATGATGCATCAGATCCATTAGGTTTGATATGAACTTGTTGCTATGGATGCAATGGTCATGTATGGTTTGATATGAACTTGTCGCTATGGGTGCAATGGTCATGCCCTTGTTTTTTCCTTGTGATATGTCGTTATTTGTTGGTATGCAATGGTCATGCACCTGTTTTTTCCTTTTCAAAAAAATCATTTCCGATTTTTCCTTATTTTTTCCACCATTTTCTAATTTTTCCCACATTTTCCTAATTTTCCCCGGAATTTTAATCATTTTTAAAATTTATTCTCACTTTTTCTGATTTTTTGCCTTTTTTAATATTATTTTCCATTTTTTCTGATTTTTTAACGCCTTTTCCAAATTATTTTTAATTTTTCTGATTTTTTAAACCCATTATTGTACACAAGGGCAAAACTGTCTTTATATAGCCCCTAACACCTCTGTTATGTATCCATCCATCCAAAATGGCACACGGGTCAACGAAAGTTGGGCTCATGGCATACAGGTAACTCCAAACTTTTTTGTGGCACACAGGTAAGCAACAACTTTCCTAATGGCACAGGGGTAAAAGACTCCCCCTCCCACCTCTCCCTCACTCTCCTCAGCATGTATCCTCTTCTCCTTTCCCCAGCGGCAGCGGCGGGTGACGTCGGCTCCTCCCCTTTGGATCTGGCCGGAGGTAGGTTGTAGCACTCGGCGGTAGAGAGGAGGGGCGGCGCGGTGCCGGCGGCGGGTGGCGTCGGCTCTTCCCCACCGGTCCGGGGGTAGGTCGGCAGCGCCCAGTGGTAGGGAGGTGGAGGGGCAGCGCAACGGTTGCGGGCGGCATCGGCTCATCCCCTCCGGATCTTGCGGCAGGTGGCTTCCGGCTCCACCTCTCCGGATCTTGCGGTGGGCAAGGTCCAGTTCCTCTCCTCCGGATCTTCTCCCTCTCCTTGGCCAGAGGTTTGGTTGGTAGAGCGACGGCATCCTGGAGCATCCGCCAGGCGGTAGGGGGAAGGAGGGGCGGTGGCGGAAGCTCACGTGGCGGCTCCCCTCTCCTCCCTTTCCTAGATCCTCGCTCCGGTGGCTTGGCGCGGTAGCGGTGACTGCTTGCTCCACCGACAACGGCCATCTGCGATGATGGTGTGATGGATTTGTTTTGTTTGTGAATTTATGATGCTTCCGTGTGGATTCGATTTGATTTTGGAGATGGGGGATTGGATTAGATTGGATGGGAATTGGGAATTGGGAAATGGGAAATAGGAAGCTGCGGCTGGCCAAAACGGCATCAGCTGCAATTTTTTTTAGCATAACAAAATCTCTTCGCAGGCGGATCAGTTGCCCGCCTAGGAAAATCATGGTTTTTACGGGCGTTGAGGTACAGACGTCATTGCTGTCCGCTTGTGAAATACGTTTTGTCCGCCTGCAAAATACCTTTTTTTTTAAGTAGTGCAAGACATCATATTGGCCCATCAGTTCCATTATTAATTCTGTAAAAATACAACAAGCTTGCTCAACACAGTACATTGACCAATCAATGGCCAACTGCCAAACAAGCGTTATTACAAATTCAATTTTCATCTCACGAAAAATTAACAAACATATCAAACATATGCACGCGTCAAAGATTAATTACTAGATGCAAATTCATGACAAAAAACGAGTAGATGAAACAGACACAAACAAGGTATATATCCATGGATAGCTAGCTAGCTAGTCGACATAGTACATGGGGTTGGGGAACTTAAAGGTGCGGCAACCATCCGGCGAGCGGCGGATGTCGTTCCACTGGTCGCCAATGTTGCCGACGATGATGTAGCCATCATTCACCAGCTTCTGTCGTTCGCAGGTCTTGAACGCCAACGTCGAGGTCTGAAGCCTAACCGGCTGCAGCACAAGCTTCTCCCAATTGCAGTAGCCCTGCTTAATAAGGTTGTTGGTTGTGACCGTCCTCTGGTCCTCGGTGCGGTCTGTCAGGAACACCGGCTTTATACCAAGCTGGAGTAACCGTCGGTAAAGCCGCAGTGTACTCTGCAGTGCTGGCGCGCTTCCCTGCACCACGTACTTGAGGAAGCTCTGGTTGTCGAACGGTTGAACTCTGCAAATTAATCAAGGGGGATCAGTTAAGGTCACCAATCCGTATGCTGTATATGTTGGCAGTTATTATTGATACTCCATTGGGTATTCTAAATGTATGCATTTTCTTCAATTCAATTTTGTACACGAAGAAAGCATTTTTTACGACATTGAATATTCCATTCCACTGAAATCCAGGCGTTTTTAGTTAAAGTACTTATCAGAGGAACACTGAAAAAAGTTAAAATTGAAATTTTCACTTACGAGATGACTAAAAGAGAATGTTTCCTCCTATCCTTTTTTTTAAACAACTTATATTTAGGACATGAGCTATTAGCTAGAGAAAAAAAGATTTAACTATATATGTTCCAATTACATTGGTCATTTTTTATAATTATAGCGCTTTACATTAAAAGAAGAGTCTAGATCAATTACAATCTCGCTAATTATTAATTTTCAGTTGAAATTAAAGTAATACAATTCTAAGAATAAGAGCGCAATGTTGGTACAATCAATATATATTCGCTCCGAAGTCAGAAATTATTAAACTTTAGGAAAACTAAAACTAAAGAGTCTATATGGTACAAACTATTGAATAATCCATCATACTTTAATATGATATTTTGTTCAATATAATTTTTTTTGCTACGATCTATGGTCATCAGTAAAATCTTTTTGACTACTAACGTGAGTATTTATTTAGTCGAACCAATTTTGATTAAAATTATTGTTTAGTTTCTAAGGCGTTTTTTTTTTGTTCATTTTTGCCGCTAGCTGATCATTTTTGCAATCCTAGTTCTAGATTGTCATTTTTTCAAGATGGTTGACTGTTAAATGTTGAGTATGGATTTGGCTTTTGATGAATGGAATTCCTAGCTAGTATGCATGAGCTAGCTAGTGTACATGTTTGTATATATACTTACCCGTAGCCATGGTTGGCTTGGTAGGGCACGGTGGAGAGGGCGGTGTCGTCGACGTCGAACACCCAGATCTCCTTGCCGGTGCCGGAGAGCTTGAGGCTCTCGGCGTAGGCGATGGCCTCGTTGATCACCACGTCGGCGTCGCGGCCGTACCGCTCGCCGGTGATGTAGTCGGCGACGTACTTGGCGCACGGCGGCGGCACCGTCTTCCACCCGATGATGTTCCGCGCCTCCACGGCCGTCCTCAGGCTGCCGCAGTACGGCGGCGGCGGCGGCGCCGCCTCCTGGCAGGTGGTGTGGCAGAGGCAGAAGCCCGCCACCGTGAGCAGGAGGAGCAACCTCGCCGTCGTCGTCGCCATTATTGGCCGGCGCATGCAGTGTGAGCTCCAGAAATTGCAGTGAGAGTATTGAAGAGGTTGTGTGTGAGCTGCAGCGAATGAGGCCTTTGGGATTTATATAAACAGAGGAGACGAGAGCTGCGTTGATTGGTCGTCGACGACTCACATCAAATTATTCACAGGCCAAACGTCGAGGTCAGCATTTCCTCGGTGTCCGTGTCGTTAAACTCTGTATTCCCTCCATCCCAAAATATAATATATAACCACTTTTTTTAATGTCTCATAATATAAAACACACATACATACATTAACTAGCATCTCTTGGTTCTATAAAATTGATTTGTTTTAAATCTTATATTATCAAACCTTCCAATCACATTGTTTGCATGTATCAAGGTGATCTAACTAAGAAGATGATTAAATGTTTTCTTTATTTTTTTTTTGAGTGGTTATGCCTTATATTTTAGGATGGAGGGAGTAGTATATTCTCCATGCGTATGCATCGTGGTCATTGTTAGTAGAAGGAAAAAAAATGTACGGTGCAAATCACATATATAGCGAAAACTTGAAAACTATCGTTGGATAAAAGTACATTTGATATTTATCCACATTATCCAGAGTAAAAAATTATTTCTGAATTAACCATAAGTAAAAATTTTACTGCTCTTGATAACATGGATAAATCTTAAATCTTCATTTTTTTAATTCAATGATTGTTTTTAGGTTTTCATTACATATATGGTTTGCACTTTACATTTCTCATGTTAGAAATAATTAATGTTGTTGTTGCAGCTACATGCATTGGTGTATAAGCAATAGAATTAAGGCCAACATGCATATGCATGTACGGGACCGTCGTCCTCTGCATGCAAGAGTGGGAACCCTGCGTACGTCGTTAGGGAGCAGTCCAACTGTCCAAATAGTTGGCGATTGCATAGATTAGTTGTACGTACTACTATAGTACACACAACATTTTCACAGTAACCTGTTTATACGGGCGTTTCTAGACTTGCCTCTATCTACGCAATAATATAGTGGCTTATAGAAAATAGGTATTTTTACATACACATAACTTGGACGTGGAGCCGTAAGGGAGAAAATATAATGCATTTGGTTGATTGACCCAGTGAATATAGAAGAAAAGAAAAGAAGAAGACACATTAGCTTTGTCATGTTGTTCGATCGAACTCTCTTCGTTTTAAATTGCAAGACGATTTAGTATTATTCAAAATGAAATATTCATTACTTTGACCATCAATATATTTATAAATTCACATACTTCATCAATATGTGAACTATATAATAGCATTTCTGATGGTGAATCGAAAAATATAAATTGTATAATATTAAACTATATATATTTTTAAAAAAAATCAACAGTGAAATAGTAATGTTTGAGTTAATTAGGATAAAGCTAGCTAAATCGTAGTACTACGTATGACTGGTAATTTATAAAGGGTGGAGTAAGTTTATTATGTTTAAAGATGTGTCGGTGTCGACGCCAGCAGCATGCTAATTAAGCTTAACTGCTTAAGCTATACGGTCACGTACTTAGCTTCTCGATCTCCCTCTTTTCTTTCCCCACGAAATTCTACCATGGACATTAGCTCATCAGCATCACCATTAATCGCTAGCCAATTAGCCGATAGGTTCCTGGCCCAGAACGTACGTAGCTTCTTATCATTTTGAATGCCTAAATGAAAGGAGCATGCTAGACATATATAGCGTGTTAATGGCGTTGGTTAAGCATGGGGCCAATGACGATCTTAGTTTTGAACAAGAGCAGTGTGAGAGATCTGATGGACTTAATGGCGCATAAATGCGAATTATAGAAAGCAGAGCGTGGACGTAGCTCAGCTGTATATGGTACCTTGTAGTACTGTAGTATTACGTGGTAGCTACTGAAGACTTTTAGAGCAAGTTTAATAGTATAGCCAACTACTAGCTCCAATTTATATATAGCCAATCTAATAGTTCATTTATACAATAGTTACATGGTACACTATTAATATCTGGTCCCACCTGTCATATACACACTGCGTCTTGGAGTCCGTGCTGTAACTGGCTACAAATCTGTAGCCCGCTGTCATTCTCTCTCCTTATTTACCTTCTTAAAATATGTTTACAGCTGGTTTATAGCCTGCTATTGTATCTGCTTTTATCTTAGTACATATAACTAATTAAGTTCCAGGTTCTACAATAACCAAGTAGTCCACTGGGCAATACATGCATGCATGCATGCATGCATATGCTTGCTTGCATTAGAAGGCATTTCCAACGATATATAGACGCTAGCAGCAATGTGTTCATCTCTGATTCCACCTCTCACATGAACATATTCATGAAACTATGTATGTACCTAGCAGTGGTTGATGCAGGATTTTGATGATGGGATACAAAGTTAATGAGGCATTATCTCAAATTAAGAAAAATAAACTTCATGAAAGTGGAAATGGAGTTGATGGCATTTTGTTTTGAGGTCACTTAGATGTAAAAAGGAGAAATTTTATGGTACTTAATATAATTTTACAGTGAAATTTTAATACCTTGAGATACCTGTTACCAAGTTTTATATTAGAAAACACGATACCTACTTACACATTATAAGGACGGTAAAATTAAAGAATTGCCATATAACTTCTCACATTTATTTGGAAGCTAACCTTGCAGTTGTCAACATTTCTATTTCAGCTCTTTGGTCGTGTCAAATATAATATAAAACAAAAGGTATTTTACTGGTGAGATTGTAAAGTGAATTTGTGAGGGCAGAGAAATCCTTGGTTCGAGTCTTATAAACCATATGCAGTATACACTACTACAGAAATGGTGATAAGTGCCGGTTAAATATTAGGAACCTGTTATAGGTACTAAAATTTTCAACCAACACCCAGCAGGGGGAATCTTTGAGGACTTAAAGGTGCCGGTTTAGGAACCGACACCTTTAATGTTGTAGGAATGCAAAAAAAAAAAAAAGCCGACTCGATTCATTGGCTCGAATTAAGCCGATCAACACATAAACCCCACTTCTGAGCCCAAAAATTTCTCAAATTCTTCTTAATCAATCACAAATTATTTTTCAACATTCAAATCACAGAGTGAATAACAAATCTTATCACTAGTGGATCCATGAGCTCGCCGTGGTGGATCTGGTGCCCCAAGCTCGTGGAGGCCGGATCAGGCCACTCCTGAGCTCATGGCGACGGATCCGCCGGTCTGGAAATATGTTAAATGTTTATATTGTTGGACAGTGGGAGTAATATTATTTCTATCTTGAGTTTGTTGTGTATGTCACGATGAATTCTATCCATATAGTATATTTTCCTAATATTTCTATCTTAAATTTTTCCTATGTTAATTCCATCCAAAAAAATGTTAATTCCATCGAATTAAGTGCTATAACAGGCGGGTGAAGCATCATCCATCCATTACAGGTACTAAATCATTCATTCTGAGGGCCATAAAATTAGGGACTGATACTACCAGAAACCAGATAACTTCTGACAGCCACAAGCAAAATCAAGAACGGAATGACCAGCATATATTTCCCATGCATGTAGCCAAAAACACTGTAAAATTACTACTTACTAATTAAAGGGTAGAAAATATAATAGGGACATATGCTCACGGCTCATACGTGCCAGTTTAATTAAAACCGGATCATATGCGATTTTTCCCGCCCTTCCGACCCAACATACATGTATAAAATTAAGCCATTATAACCTCTTATAAATACTGGACAAATAATATTTGTGCCAGTTTTTTTTAGTAAATTGATACATTTATACATGAGATATATATATGTGCTGTTTTTTTTATTGACGACTCTGTCCATTCTTTGTCACTCACTTAATCACTCACTCATTCTCTCTCGGAATCCATCTCACCGCCTCATTCTCTTGTCTCGCCCCCTCATTCTCTCCAGAGGAGACAAGGGAGTATCTCTCCCCACCACTGCCACCTTAGGGCCTCCTCTCATATTCATCGCCGTTGCCGCCCTCCTCCTCTCCGCCGCTACCACATGCAGCCCCTCCTCTAGGCCAGCGGATCTACCCAAATGAGACCAGGGGCGGCTAGATCCAACGCCGCAAGCAATTATATCATTGTTTCATTTTTACTGATTGTAAGCTGCATCCAAAAAATAATTTGTGAATACAGATTTTATATATGTGTTCATAGCATTTTAAAAGCAAATGCTGGAAATTAAATTGTGAGAAAAATTTCCTAAATTAAGTCTAAATTTAAGTTTTGTAATTTAAATTTTGGTTGCTGTTTAATTTATAAACTGAATTGTAAACTATGGGATTGGTCCACCATCTTTATATACGATTATATTGAAAGGGTGCTCAACACGGGAAACTTTTTTTATCCCTTAAGGGTATGAGCCTTCATTCGTTGCAAGCAGTCTATAAGTAATAAAAGTTATTTCAAAGAAAATAGAGACGGACATACAGATGATTGTGTATCTGGAGAAATATCGGACTATTGGTTCATCAGTCAGATTCGTTATGTTCCTTCGATTATTACTTTTATTTCTTCATGTGTAGTTTGTAGATCAAATTTGGTTTTGCATGTTTATGGAACAATAGTAATCTATCCTCAGATGTTTGTGGAAGGACATGTCAATTGTGACAAAAATAGTCTGTCTAGCTTATCTATTGTTTTCATATTTATTAGGAGTTCCTTAATTTGACATTTAGACAAACATACAAAATGTGACAAAATCCTAATGTAGGGCCGACTAGAATAAATTAAAATTTGGAAAGAGAGACCAGTTATATTTTTATCCTTTTTTGAAGACCTGACCAAACTCTCATCACTTTCTCTCCTTCCGTTATATGAAAAGACAAATTCAACCAATAATGTAATAAAATGTTTGATACATTAATTTCCATTACTAAGTACTGTAACTCAAAAATAAATCCAGTCTACTACATATGGAACAAGGTTCAATAGTGTAAGACATCATCTTGAACTATCAAGTTCATTATTAATTACTTTAATAAATACAACCAGCTTTCTGTACACTGTACATTGATCAATAAATGGCCAACTGCCAAACAAGAGTTATTACAAATTTAAATCTCATCTCATAAAAAACGAGTAA